TTATTTAACCCTTTGCACTCGAAGTTTTTTTTGAGTCATATTACCAGCAACTCGAAGCCATTTTAGTGAAAAGATCATATTCACATGTAAGTTCATAATATAAGCATTAAAAGAAAAGTCATCGTTGTATGTTATTATTTTTTTAATTGTTTATGGATACAAACGTCATTTGTCACCAACAGCGAAACATCCTATAACTAATTTTTACGATTTGTTTTTGTTCTTATGTTAAAAACTGAAAATTATTTGCATTGTCTCCGTAGCGGAGCCCTCGAGTTTGAAGACAAATTTTAAATGGCTCCGCTCCGGAGCCCTTGAGTGCAAAGGGTTAATTTATACGTTACTTATGGCAAATGTTACAATAACGCTTGTTAAAAATCAGAATAAATGGCTTATTGTTACTTTTATAAAGTAATAATAAAACAGCGGTTTTTTATGTGTGCTCCGTAAATCTAGTGTTAACCCTTTGTACTCGAAGCCATTTTAACTGTAAATTTCAATCAACTTTTCTCACTTGTAGTATCTCCATTTTACATGACAAAGTGCATTTTTCATGCACACGAAATCGAGTTTCGTGACCCATAGAACAGTCAGACTTTGAACAATTCTTTTTATATCTAAGCTTTGATAGCATAAAAATTATCTTGGAACGTGGTGTAACAATATTTTAAAGGTGCCTCAGAGTCACTACTCGAGTGCAAAGGGTTAATAAGCTGCTACTGGGAGAAAAATCAATGGTATCTTTAAATTCTTGCAAGATTTTAGCCGATATATGTCAGAATTGGAGAGTAAGCGATTATTTTATGATTACTTTTGTCAATCGATTATACGAAAAGTAATCTTGATAATTTGTAATAATGTATCAATCGTTTATTTATCGTTGCTAGAACAAATCAGTAATTATGATCGCATTTGGTAATCTGTAATCGTTGATCAGTTAATAGTTACTAAAACAAATCAGTAATTACGATTGCATTTGGTAGTCCGTGATCAATAATCGGATTACTTTTCGCCCAATTCTGCCGTATTATTTCGCGCATTCGTTTATGCCACGAATGCATAGCGACGCGCAGTCTTTCCACGCGTGCAACGTCGAGTAAGAATCTCCGACGGTGAAACTCCCGTACACGCGTTTTGTCACAAGAAAATCCGATCGTACTGAAAACTCACCCATTTTCCATTTCCACAGGGCTGAACGGATAGTTCGCTCCGTTTCGCGTTTAAATCGGGATCTGAAAACAAGCAAAGGAAATAATCTTTAGAGAAGAATGTATGCTACACGACGCGTTATAAACTGTGCCCGGCAATGCTACAATTCCGATGAAATTAAAACAAGTAATCTCGGCATTAAAATAAATGTCGGCGTTCGCGCACGTTCTAATATAAAATGGATGAAAAGCTCGCGGGCTCCGACTGCACAGGCTGCTCCCCAGTGTTGATGTTCACCGGTTCCGGAGGAGCCTCGGAGGCCTCCGATTTCCCATTTTGTAATTGCAGGACGGCCGGGGGAAAAAAAGGAACGAAAGAAAGAAAGAAAGAAAGAAAAGTGAAATTAATTCTGACCCAGTCCACCCTTTCATCCCTCTCTTCGCCTGGCCATCAATTCGAAATCCGTGAGCGATCGCCGGTGCGTGAAACGACATCAATCGGGCTTTCTCGCACAGATAACGAGGCTGTGCTGCCAGTCGAAGAAGGGGAGCGTTCTCCTCAACACACATACTCTCTCTCTCTCTCTCTCTCACTCTCTCTCTCTCATTCGCTCTCTCACTTGCGCTCTTGCAATCGCGCTCTCTTACTCGCGCGCTCTCTCCCTCGCGCGCTCTCTCCCTCGCGCTCTCTTACTCGCGCGCTCTCTCCCTCGCGCTCTCTCTCCCTCGCGCTCTCTCTCTCGCGCTCTCTCCCTCGCGCTCTCTCCCTCGCGCTCTCTCACTCGCGCGCTCTCTTACTCTCTCTCTCTCTCTCTCACTCGCTCTCTCTCTCTCACTCGCTCTCTCTCTCTCACTCGCTCTCTCTCACTCGCTTTCTCGCTCTTTCTCTCTCGCTCTCTCTCTCTCACTCTGTCACTCGCGCTCTCTCTCTCTTTCTCTTTCTCTTTCCCTCGGTCTCTGTCTTCTCCTCTCCTTCTCGTCCCATCGGGCGGGCGGTGCGCGAGCGCTTACAAACGATGAAGCGGTAGTCGTAGAAAGGGTTGCCGGAGTGTCGAGCATATAACGTACAAATTATACGTGGCCACGGAACGGGTGATTTACACGCAACAAACGAACCATGGAAAACCGTTATCGCGGCGGGTTCAACGCGGTAACGTGCTAAGTATCCATCGAGAAATATCTGGTATACCGATCGGGCCGACGAGTCGGGATCGTTACCGTAACCACGGCCAAATTTCAGGTTCTACGGATGGCATTTAAAAAAAAGACCGGCCTATCCACCGGCCAGGCTAGGCTCTTATACACATTCTTCGCTGATTACGGCCTTTCGGTAGAAGCTGCCACGCTGTACACGTTGGACCTTGCCCCCTCCACGTTCGACAACACTCCTGAACCACGGAGAACGCTCCTCCGTGTCTCCCACGACTCGGCGCTCTGCTGTCCAAGGCATCGAACAGAACGAGATTTCTGCGACGAGTCGCGTTCTACGCGAATCGCCTTGGATTCAAACGAATTCGGACAACAGAGTTCGATCGATGAAATTATGTATTCCTCGATAGGAATAATTTTCTAGCCTTGTCAGCCGGAAGATCGACTTACGCAAAAAGGTTAATCACTGAGTCGGGCAAAAAGTAATCCGATCGATCATCGACGAACATGATTCACGCGAAATCATGTTCACGATTAATTGTTACGATTGTTGAGTGATCAAGTAATTATGATGAATGAATAGGTTGAGTAAGCAAGTGTTCATGATGAATGAATAACTTGAGTGATCAAGTAATCACGATTAATGAGTAACTTGAGTAATCAAGTAATCATGACGAATGAATAACTTAAGTAACCAATTAATCATGATTAATGAATAATTCGAGTAATCAAGTAATCATGTGATGAACGAATCAACTTGAGTAATCGAAGCAAATATAATCGTCGGCCATAATCAACACAGTCATCATTAATCGCATAACGACTACCTTTTCGGATTATAATTACACGAAACCCTTGGTATTATGGTAGCTAATAATAATTCCGAATAGTTTACAAAAATATCTGCAAAGACGAGATTACCGATGCCGGATTACTGATCAATAATAACAGATTGTCAAATGTGATCGTGATTACCGATCGATTCTAATAACGATTGATCGATCTTAACGATTACGATTAGCACGATTACTTATCGTACTCGATTAACAGAAGCAACCGCAAAATAATAAGAATTACAATAACGATGATAATAATTACTGTGCCAATCTAAGAAGAAATAAAATAACGAAAAATAATCGATTCGAACTCTGGCTAATCGCTAACCAGAAAGCACAGCTTATCCACGAGGCAGGACGGAAGCCTCGAATTTTCGTGCGAAGGCGTCGCGCGTCGCGGTCGCCGAAATTTGCTATCAGCAAGCTCATTTACAAGTTAAGGGTAGCACACCTTCTAGACCGGCTCGTCAAAGTCTGCAACGGAGTCGTCTCCGACCAAACAGACCCGCAGCGTCGCAACAAGCGTCGCACGGAAGAGCAGGATGCCTCGAGTGGCAAGGAAAGCAGCTCGTAGACGAATTCTCATTGGATTTCCGAGGGCGTGGGTTCGATCTGTGTTACGAAGCTCCGCGACGCGGGGCGTGGAACGCGAGCCGGTAATTTCCACAATTAGCGTTCGCGTCTAGGCGCGTAGGCCCGCCTTATTTATAGTCCTCCGGTATGTCCCGCGGTTTCGCGAGCGAGGCTATATCGTTCCGAAAGTCCGACTCCCCTGAATCTATATGCTCTTGACGTGGCGGTTATCTTCGGCGCTCGCCAACAGATGGATACCATTTTCCCGCGACTAAATGATCCCCCGTCATCGATTTCTATGTACAGTAATGTCTCCCCTAATCGAAGCTCAGATTTCCCACGAAAATAGACAATTTGCGAAGAGTTGATACGATTGTTCGAGCCATTCGATTTGTTTTTATACGAACTACAAAGCTCGAATAATCGTATCTCCTCTTCCCAAATTGTCCATTTTTCGACACAATCTGTGCGTCAGTTAGGGAGACGTTACTGTTATACAGGGTGTCCCAAAAATGTCTCGCAATCCGAAAGTGGCGAGTTCCTCGAGTCATTTGAAGCAACTTTTTCCTTTACAACTATTTTCTCCGAGGCACCGTTAACGAGTTATTAACGAAAAACAGTGACCAATGAGAGGCGAGATCAGCTGCCGCGAGGTGGCCGAGCCAACGGCGCCAGCGGTCGAGCGGTCGAATCCCAGCATGCTGGCGCGAGACGGCCGAGCCGACGGCGCCAGCGGTCGAGCGGTCGAATCCCAGCATGCTGGCGCGAGACGGCCGAGCCGACGGCGCCAGCGGTCGAGGCGGTCGAATCCCAGCTCAGTCAGGCGCGAGGTGGCCGAGCCAATGAGCGGAACTGGATTTCGTGCGCTGGTTGGCCGGGCCGCCTCGCGTCAGTCGTACTCGATTCTTATTAGTCACTGTTCTTCGTTAATAACTCGTTAACGGTGCCTCGGAGAAAATTTTTGAGGAACCCACCATTTCCGGATTGCGAGACATTTTTGGGAGACCCGGTATACTGGTGGGTCACGAAACGAGATCAGCACAACTTATTCCGTGGTTCGATTGAACATTTTTTGCCTAAATTTAACACGGTTTAAGGAGAGTTTCAAGATGACAGTGCCAATTTTTTTGTCAATCCTTTCCTTCGAAGTTATCAAGGTTTTTTTTATAGGTGAACCTATAATTTTCTTTTCTTAAATACGGAGGAAACTATATGTTATGGTGCTCGTTGTATTCGTCTCGGCATCCCCTAAAAGATAGGCACGAAAAAATTGTGGGTCAACCTATACAAAACTGAAGGTGACCTTGATGCGGGAAGAAAGGGTTCACCAAAAATTTGGCACAATTATTTGAAAGCTCTCCTTAAACCATGTTACTTTAGTTCAATAAATTTGTAATCGAACTACTAGCAGCAGAATAGATTAAGCTGATCACGTTCCGTCATTCATTCTGTGTACCGTCCTTACGACAATCCTGCGTCTAAGACAGGGCCCGCTAGATAGTTTTATCGATGAGTGCTCTAGCAGTACCAGCGCCGTCAAACTGATAATTACAGCCGGGACAAAGTAAGTCATCGGGTCCGAGGGCGCGTAGAAAAATTCGCTCGGGCATGAATCTTGTTTCAGCGAGTTGGCAGAGACGGAAACAGAGATAGAGAGAGAGAGAGAGAGAGAGAGAGAGAGAGAGAGAGAGAGAGTGAAAGAGCGAGAGGGAGAGCGAGTGAGAGCGAGAGCGCGATTAAGAGAGCGAGAGAGTGCGCGTGTGGAAGAGCAACAGAGAGAGAGAGAGAGAGAGAGCCATATAGAGAGCGAGTGAGAGAGCGAGAGAGGATCGCGTGTGTCCGCGAGCCACGTATAGATCGAGAGACACCCGCGCACACATCGATCGACCTAAACTCAGCGAACCGTCGATTTGCCGCATGCCCGACAGCGTTACTTTTGTATCGAGCTAGGCGACCGCGTAACGCGGCTATAGGCTTTCGCACACGCACAGAGGCAGGCAGGCAGACAGACGGACAGACAGACGGACGGACAGATACAGACACGGACAGGTAGTAGACGCGCGCAAATAATTACAACCTTCTAGGATAGCGGCGCAGACGGGGGCTGGAAGAGAGGAGAAAGAGGACCAAACGAGCCAAAGTTTCAAAAAGCAACCCACCGATAATACCCATATTCCCGGCCATCGAGACCCGCAGAGCTGCGCAAAATTCCAGACTCGCCGCGTTCGCCCTCTCCCTCTCTCTCTCTCTCACACTCTTTCGATCTCTACTCTTTCTCTCTTCGTTCGAAGCGAGAGAGACAGCTACTGGTTCCCGTGCTACGCGGCATAGCCGGGAGCGACGATAATATAAAGCTCGTCGTTCTAGCCGTCGCAGGGCAACGCTGGCGGCGCGGCGCGCCGCGGGACACACGTACGCGCGTCCATATACAGAGCCCGGCTACGAATAGAGAAACCGATGACGAAGGAGGGAAACGAGGAGAGAGCAGTAGCAGCAGTAGCAGCAGCAGCAGGCAGTAGAGGCACA